GAGCCGGCGTTTGTTCCCAGGGCTGCTGGGCCGTGTCCCGGCGAGTGCGGTGGGCTCGGGGTTTTTCCTCGACAGCTGGATTTCCTTCAGCCTTTCGAAAGGGAGCGGGGTGGTGGGAAGAGAGAGACCTGGGGGTGGGCAGAAGGGACAGCGCGGGGGCTGCCAGCCTCGCAGGGACTCCTGCGCCCACCGCTGACTTCTCTCTTCCTTCCTTCCTTTCTTCCTTTCTTTCCATGTCTTGAAAGATTGCAGCGAGCGCGAGCAGCACGGTTCTTTGTCATCCCCCGAGAATGCTTCAGAACCCAAGGGCTTGTTCCCCTGCCAGCGTCCTCCGTTAGCCCGAAGCAGCCGCTGAAATCCGTGTCTGTGCAGCTGGGGCAGACCAGCAAGACTTGGCCGTAGCCATGGCAGAGCGCCGCAGAGTATCGTTCACCACTCTCCAGGGTCCAGCAAGGAGCAGCTTCGTGAAGAGTCTGGGGAAGGACGAGCGAGAGCAGCCCGAGGACTCTGAACTGGCTGCCAAAACTGTTGGGTTCACACTCCCTCTCTTTGCGTGATGGACGACGAGCGCTATCCAGAATTTTTCTATCCAGATCTTCTGGAGAGTTGTCAAGGGGGAAAAGATGGTGGCTCCTCAGGAGACAAGGTAAGTGTCCTCGTGGTTGTATGTGTGGGGCTTTGGTGGCAGCGTGACAGGATTGATTCTGATGGCTTTGTCTCTCCAATTTCTGAAGGAGAAAGACCCTGGTGAGCCCTTCAGTTGTGACAAAAAGGAAACGCATGAAGCGGAGGCTCTTGCGAGGCAGTTTGAAGAAAAATACGTACGTAGTTCTTCTTTCTGTTCTGGTATCCCTTGGAATGGGCAGCGCTGTTCAGCTCTTGGGCAGTTAATGGTGGTTTGGTTCTGCTGCTGCTAGGAGCAGCAAAGATGTCACCCTCTTGTCTGTACTGCAGCCAATGTCAGTGTCCTGTATCGGGGCTCTGCCCGGGGTAGCGGGGAAAGAAAGATGCACACAGTGTCAATCTCTTATTGTTTAGGGTGGCAAGAGGCGCAGAAAGGACTTGATTGATATGGGCTATGGCTGCGACGAATCCGACTCCTTGATCGATAATTCTGAAGCAGTGAGTACCGGGGCAGGAGTGAGGGTGGTACAGGCAGCTGCCTGGGGGGGCTGAGCTGGCACCTGGGGAGAAGCTGAACTGGGTGCAAGTCAAGGAGTGTGCCCGGGCTGGGGAGCGAGAGCTCCTGGGGCAGCCGCACGGGATGAGGATGCTGGTGAGCAGGCGTGTCCACAGCCGCGTCTGCTCTTGGGGGAGCACCAGTCCCGCTCCGTTCTCCAGGCAGCTCAGCTGCAGAGTGAAGTGACAAAGCTGCCAGCGCCAATGGACTGTTCTCTGCCATTTCCAGTACGATGAGCTGGTTCCGGCTTCTCTGACTACCAAGTATGGAGGGTTCTACATCAACTCAGGAACACTGCAGTTTCGGCAGGCATCAGAATCTGAAGATGACTATGTTAAAGAGAAAAAGAAGAAGTGTCCCAAGGTTAGCAAGCCAGCTTTCTCAATTATTTCCTCTGTTAGAGCTGGGAGGGTTTGCCACATGAAAAGCGCGTTGACGTTGGAAGCGGAGAGAGGTTTGTGGACAGAACAGGGACGAGCCCTTCAAATGCCATTTGATGGTAAAATGAAGCGTGTCTGGCATGGACAAGGCCCTGGTGGGGCTGCCTGGTTCCTAGAGTAGAGGTGGCAGCAGCCGCTTGTCACCCTGATTGGTCGCTTAGCATTATGGGGATGCTGAGCCATGTTGGAGGGCTCTTCTCGTTCTCATCGGAGGCGTGCTGGAGACTCTGCTGGGAAACTAGTGCTCCTCTTCAGTGGCAATGTCTGTTGGAGACAGCCCCCTGTCCATAATGCCGAAGCGAGGCGGCTCAAAGGGGCGACAGCAGGAGCACTTGGCGTCCCTTCACCTTTACCCATGGGATCGTCTCGAGTGTAAAAGCCAGGTGCGCTGTGCAGTGTTGAAGACAGCGCATGCCAGAGCTGTGGTGATAGATGGGTGGGGTTTGGGTTAAGGTGTCCAGTGGGGAAGGAGCTGTTCTCAGATGTTCGGGAGAGTGCCCAAAGTGATTCTGGGGTGCAGGTCCTATTCCATGGGCAGGAGACACTTTGACTGTGACTTGGTTTTAACCCTCTTCAGAAGCCGAGGTTGAGAGATGGAGCTGAAAAACTAAAGAAGAAGAAGAGGAAGAGGAAAGCTGCTGCTAACAACAACAAGCTTCCAAAAGCTGGGTAAGGAGCGGGAGGGAATGCTTGCTGCTCGACCCCTTGCTTCAGGGTTGCAGGTGGCATTTGTTACGCTGCAGTAGGACCAGATGCAGCAGGGGATGGCTCACGGGCGTGCTGCATCAACAGGAGCAGGGAAAACCCCGCGAGAGCAAAAAGGCAGCTGACGGTGAGGGAAGGAGCCCAGCACCTCAGCAAGAGCGTCCGAGCCAAGAGGGGCACAGCAGGCTGCAATGTTGGTGTTTTTTGGAGCTCTGTTGAGGCACCAGCGGTGGGAACAGACGTTGGAGAGCCTGAAGAGAAGGAAAAGGAACTTGCTCTCCTGGCTTTACCGGGCAAAGACCGTCAAGCTGCCGTCATGCTGACTCTCTCTTGCTTCCATTCCTCTGTGCTAGTAGTTTGTGCATTTCCAAATCTCCCTTGCTGGAATAATGCACGTAGCTAAGAGCGTAACTCGGTGGAGACGGTTCAAGCTCAGTGACCTCTCTGCACTGAGGAAGGACTTGTACGTCAACGTGAGTCTTGCGCTGCGGCAGCCCTGTTCCGCGTGTGCGTGGTTGCCCAGGTGATGAAGCTGTTGTGTGAGTCTTTCCGCTTCCCCTCAGTTTCAGGTTGCCGAGCTGCAAAGGGTTTTCCCTTGGGACCCTCAGAGTAGTGGGCCATGGATGGAGAGACGGTTGCTGTGGGGAGGGCAGCTACCCTCGAGACCTTCAAAATGGAAGCCATGGCTCAAATCAGTTGTGCAGTGGAGTGGAGAGGCACAGAGTGTGCAGCAGAGCAGTGTGGCGTATCCCCCAGTCCCCCTGGCTTCCAGCAGACGGGTATAGTTTCCTCTGCTCCAGCAGAATCTGCTGTAGGGCAGTTCCGTTAAGCATCGCCAAAGTGTCCATCATGCCCCAGCAGTTGTTCCATGGGCAACAGGGAGCAGCTGTGACCCAGGAGCCGTGGGACAAGGTCGTTCAGAAAGCATAG